AGTGACAGCACATAATTTTCCATTTAAGAACAATTTTTTCCCTTTTCTGTCAGCATTAGAAATAGAATAATAATCAGTTTCCCCACTTTTGGTAAAAAAGAATCTAAAAAATGAGCCTTGGCTGGTGCGGCTCGGTTGGGCATCATCCTGTGTCCTGTGCACTGAAAAGTTGTTGGTTCAATTCCTGGTCAGGGCACATGCCCAGGCTGTAGGCTCAGCAGTTTCCATTCACACTGATGTTTCGCTCTCCCTCTCCCTTCTTCTTTCTCTCAAAATCAATTTTCAAAATTGTAAAATAAAATATCAAAAATAATTCATATTTTATTAATAATGTGTATTTTATTTTAAAAAATATTTACTGGGGAGACGTTAATAAAATTATATAGGTTTCAAGTGTACAATTCTATAATACATCTAATTAGTACTTATGTGTAATGGTCTGCGCTGGATGATATGAGCATTGTAAATGTGAGCCAAGTTTGATGCCTGACCTCCAGAAGCTTTTAATGTAGTAGGAGAGATGAGACATACATATATTGTAATGCGGTCGGCATGTCCAGAGGTGGACAGCCTTTAACATAGGTCGAAATGTGGAGAAAGGAATAACCATCCCCTGGGTGTGCAAATACTGCTTTATGTAAAAACTGAGTGCTGGTGGCGGATCTCAAACTTGAGCAGGCTTTTCAGATGTGCTTGGGATTTTTGGTACCTGCTCTCACGTTCTGACCCTGTGTTCTCTCTCTCTCTCTCTCTCTCTCTCTCTCTCTCTCTCTCTCTCCCTTCCTGAGATGTGGTCACAGTTCTCTTGGTCTCAGATTACAATGTCCCCTGAGAAGCTGAGCAGATGGCTGCAGCAGCAGTGGCGGGAGTGACCCCTGTATTCTACTCTTTGGCCAGTGACAAATCTGGCTACTACAGGGTGCCAGCAGCTGTGGTCTGGCTTCACTGCGGTGTGGTCTGCATGCCCTGGTCCCCCATCCATGAAGAGTTCTGGTGCCGTGTCACCTGTCCTTGCTTGATTGGTTGTTTTGGGAAAAGTCTTAGCAGTCCTGCAGTGGGAATTTGGTACTCCTTTTCTTCGTCTTCCTAGCCCTCTTCTTACTCATGGAATTCTTCATGGCTCAGATTCATAAACAGATCAAGGTCAAAGTCAGTGGAGTCAGTGGCAGCTGAAGTGGAGGAAGGCTCCATGGTGGGAATCCAGGAGTATGTCCCCTCTCCGAAGTCCATCTTGAACTTCCACCAGGAAGAGGTGCTTTTGCTTCTGTACCTCCTTTATTTCCTCCTGCCGGTTGGCACACAGTGCTTGTTTTTGGTTCTTATGTACCAACACCTGCCACTGGTGAGCCAAGCCATTATCCACTGCAGAACTGATAGCTCCCTGGACCCTACCTCTGCCTGATCTGGGGGACCATGGAGAAGCGCATGTCCATCTACGCCCCCATCACCTTGTCCTCCGTGACCATCCTCTTCTGCTCGGGTATCTTCATGCATTGTATCCATCACTACCTATTGAAGGGGCTTTCAGTGTTAAGTTTGGGCTTGAATGATATTTGGAAGTTCTTACTGAGAGTCTTTCCACCTTCACATTAGGAAGTTTGTGTTCCTCTAAATATTGTGCCTTGGGCAGGGCTTCCTCTTGCTAACCTTCTTTGCTTTCCTCCTTCATAAAATAAACATTTGTTGTTCTTGTTTTCTTTGTTTGTGTTGTCTTTGTTCTTGTTGTCTAACTGTGGGATAGATGGGATGCACTTGATAACATTGCATTGTTCTTTCACACATGCATTTCATGTGTTTCTCACCAGAAGCCTGTGACATTGAACTTGCTACTTCACTCTCCCAGTACCTTCAAATCAGCTAGAGTTTCCATTGTCTTGCAACAGTGAGCTTTCAAGGTTCCACAAATTCTGCATGGGATTAGGAAAAAAGTTATTTTGACCACCTGGGTTTGATTTTGTTTTATAGGATTCTGTTCAAAGTGGGATGGCTACATCAGCCACCTCTGGAACCAGGAAATGTGACACCCCTCTGTTGATAGCAGCCCAGAAGCAAGCAGGCTATCTGGTCACTGATAAACTCTATGTCGTCTAGGTGAAGACCTGCTTGTAACTCCTCGATCTCAAAGTCAGGCAGGCAGAAAGAGCGAGCAGAAGTGCACAATGGCCAGGACTTCTAGCTGGGCCGCCTTCCTCGGGGTACTTCTCCTCCAGGCTGGCCAGGACTGGACTCCCGTGGGCGCCACAGCGCCTCAGCTCTTCATGCAGGGCTGTGGTTGGTTGTTCCTTCTGCTGATGCTGCTAGGCATGTGCACTGGCCGGTGGCTCGGGCCAGAGTCACTGGGGCAGGTGTTGCTACCTCACCTCTTCTGCGGCTGTGGCCACTCCAAGTCCTGTACAATGTAATCATCTCACTGCCAGCGAAAGATTGAAGATGATTCTTGATCATGAAATGATTCTGGCCTCATTAGATTTGGCTTGAGTATTTACATAGGTGCAGCAAGAATGCTAATTTAGCATAAAAGCCTTCTTTAAGTTTGCTTTGCTAGAGGCTTCCATAGGAATCTCAGGATGGACTTCTAAAGTCTATTACTCGCTGTCTTGAGGCTAAGAACCATGTCCAAGAAACTCTATCCACTGGATTTCATCTGCAATACCCCTGCAAATTAGGTGACTTCCTCTTTTCTCAAAGTTCTCTACACATCTCTAGGCTCATGGCCTGCCATGGGAGTGACCTCTTTAAGGCTGGACCCTGAAAGCCAGGCAACAGGAGAGCTTTCTCAGCATTGTCTCCATAAAGTCAACGTTAATTCCATAAAGGTGACTGGTCAGGCACTGGTGACAGCTTCTCCAGGTTGGCAGAGAGCCTCCTCCCTTGCCTCTGTGGTCATGTCCACGTGGAGGGGGCTGGCAACGAGGTTGCTGCTGGCATGGGCGGCCTGTTCTCCTCAAGGCAGCTGCCTGGTGGTAGTGTATTTGGAGCAGCTGGGAGGCAGGGGGTATGATTCCCTTCTCCTAACTTCCAGAGAGCCCCTTCACTTGCCCCCGGTTGTCTGAAACATTTCCCAAAAAGGACAGGAGGAGCTCAGATCAGTAGTCCATAGTGCTGCTGGTTGGAAATTATTTGGTCAAGTCCCTTCCGGAAAGAATCTTTAGAAAGCTTCCAAAAATAATGCAGCAGGAATATGAAGCAGAGCAGGGAGGACCTGTAACCACCGCTTCAGTCTTCAAGACATAACAATTTTGAATTTGAGCCTCTTTCTACTACCATTCCGATTCCTGAATACAGGCCATCATATGATTGCTTTTATGTACTGTTGAAGAAATCTTTGCCAAATCCAAGGAAACCTTCCTGCCAAATCTGTGGAAGAAGCTTTACTTCACAGACAAGAACATTAGACCGTTGAGCTGAGTCTCAAAATTGAGTAATTAAAGCAGTACATTAAAAAAAAAAAACATGTAAGCAGGAAGAAAATATTGCAAATACAATGGTAATTTGGAGCAGTGAAATGCTGCCCAATTGGGAAATAATACATAGTAGGAAGAAGGCTGGAGAATTGAGGTGCAGAGGTTGCCCTCTAGTGTTCATGAAGAAGTTTGGAGCCTTGCTGTAGGAAGAGAACTAAATATCACTCCTGAACTTTATGAAGTATTTCTCTCCAAAGGAAAGAAATGGTGGAAAAGCTTCAGTAAAACACGGTCTCTTTAAACACATCATTCTTTAAATGCAGGAGTATCTGTTGATGATACAGATGCCAGTTTGGAATTGAGCTGGACATGTCCGATGCATCTCCATCTCTCTACACCTTGCACAAGGATGACCCATATTATGATGCTTTACACAGCATCTTGGGGGCCATATTCATGCTACAGGCCTGATGTTAATTATGTCCAAGGGATGTCCTTCAGTGAGGCAGGACACATTCTCAATTAGGAAGAGGTAGATGCCTTCATTGCATTTGGAAATCTCATGAATAAGTCATTCCAGCTGGCCTTTTTCTGTGTGGATTGCAGCAAGATGTTGAAATTTTTAGAATATTTGAAGCATTCTCTGAGGACAATCTCTTCAAACTATTTCTTCACTCAAGTCTTATGGCCTTGCACCAGACATATACTTGATAGACTGGATCTTCACACAGTATCTCAAATATAACTACTTGATCTGGCCTGTCTGGTCTGGGATGTATTTTGCAGAGATGGGGAGGAATTTTTATTGAGAAGTAGGTTAGGAATTCCCAAAGTACATGAAGGCATTTCCCTGCAAATAGACTTCATTCATACAGGACAGTTTCTAACTGAATTGGCAGAGGAAAACTGTTCAGCTGTATCACAGCCACTCAGAGGAGCACCAGTAAATGGACTTAGGTCTTTGTGTTTATAGTGAAGGATATTTAAGAAGGAGACAAGAAAAACAGCACTGCTTTGAGTAGCTAATCTTCATAACAAACAAATTAATTGAAGTATAAAAAAGTATTTTTGATAACAGCATTTTTTTCCTATGTAAGCAACATGGAGGAAAGTTGGAAAAATCACCCAAACTCAAGAGATGAAAACAGCCGATTTTGAATTTTGTGATTGAAATAAAAAATGAATAATATTGACATTATTATTTAAAAATATTTTGTAGGGACAACCATTTTACAAAGGAAAAAGTGCAAGTGGCTAGTTCATACTTCATAATTTGGTGTGAACAGCTGAATTCAGTAACATTTTAAAACAGTTTTTTTTTGAAAAAAAAACACACCAAAAAACAGTGGCTGGTTGTACCCAATTATATAAGCATCATTCTTAAATATGACATTCCAGACAAGGCTTTAGTTGCACAAACAATTTTTCCACTTATATCTAGTAAAAAAGTAGGTTGATTCTTATTGAACCTATGTAAATATATTGCCATTTAAAAGTAAAAATATTTGATAAAAGTTTCTGAATTTGGGAGAGTGAGTTAGGCAGGGAGAATAAGATATCACTTAAAGGCTTCAGCTTCCAGGCTGCCTGTGGAGCATGTTTTTGAAGAAGAACAGAAAACCCTCCAAGCGGAGCTCCGGCCGGGGTTCGCCCCGGCCCTCCACAGCTCGCTCTCCGGCGGGGGCCTCGGCTGCTTGTCCCGAAGCTGGCTTCGCGGCGGCGACTGGGACCCTGGCGGCGATCAACCTAGAAAAGGATGACAAAGTTCCTAAAAAGTTCCAGAATTCCCTTGTTCAACTCGGACTCGGCACTATGAAGTCTGCAAATATAATTATTGGCGGACGAGTGCTGCTTACCAGTTTACATGGAAAACAAGAGTGACAAAAATGTGGATATTAATGAAGAGCAATTGGCTGATTGTCTTCTGAGAAAACTAGATGGCAAGATTGTTTTACCAGGCAACTTTCTATACATTACATTCTATCTACGACCATGCATGTTGCAAGTGTTGCGAGTGAAAGGTGCAGATGGCATGATACTGAGAAGGCTTCAGAGTGACTTTGATACTGATGCTCAGGGAATGGCCTCGAAACGGTCCAGCATAGAAGCCAGTACCCTCCATATGTCCTTACAGTTAAGCCAGTTGGATCTGGAAGAGCCTCAGGTCCCACCATCAAGCAGTACTCCCTGCAAACCAGAAGATGACAGAAAGATAAATAAAACTGGTGACAGTTTGTCCAATGTCACACAGAGTCCTGGTGGCAGCAGTGGGCTTGGGCCAGAGGAAGTTACAGGTCTTGAATGTAGCTTTGCGTCTGCCAGAGGAGGAAATGAGTACCTTATCAATGAAGAGAGATTCCTAAAGCCAGCCAATCTGGGAGCCAAGTGCAACACTGATACTTTCTACTTCATTTCTTCAACAACGAGAGTCAATTTTACAAATATTGGTACAAATTCAAAAGAGCAAGACAACCAGTTCAAAGTAACTTATGACATGATAGGAGGCTTAAATGGTCAGCTGAAAGCAATTAGAGAAATAATTGAACATCCTCTCAAGCAGCTTGAACCATCCAAGAGTTACGGAATTCCTCCCTCTAGAGGAGTGTTACTGTATGGCCCTCCAGGTACTGGAAAGACAATGATTGCCAGGGCTATTGCTAATGAAGTTGGAGCCTATGTCTCTGTAATAAATGGTCCTGAAATTATAAGCAAATTCTATGGGGAAACTGAAGCAAGGTTTTGTCAGATATTTGCTGAAGCCACTCTGCGGCGTCCATCAATTATTTTTATTGATGAGCTGGATGCACTTTGCCCCAAAAGAGAAGGGGCTCAGAATGAAGTGGAAAAAAGAGTTGTAGCCTCACTGCTAACACTGATGGATGGTATTGGTTCAGAAGGAAGTGAAGGACAGGTATTAGTTATTGGGGCCACAAATCGTCCTCATGCTTTGGATGCTGCACTCCGCCGACCTGGACGATTTGGTAAAGAAATTGAGATTGGAGTTCCTAATGCTCAGGACCGGCTAGATATACTTCAGAAACTGCTTCGAAAGGTACCGCATGTACTCACTGACGCCGAGATGCTACAGTTAGCAAACAATGCACATGGATACGCTGGAGCAGACTTGAAAGCCTTGTGTAATGAATCAGGTCTCAATGCCTTCCGGAGAGTCCTGAAGAAACAGCCTAACGTCCCTGACAGCAAGGTGGCTGCGTCGGTGAAGATTACTCTGAATGATTTCTTGCAGGGAATGAATGACGTCAGGCCCAGTGCCATGAGGGAGGTTGCAGTTGATGTCCCAAGTGTATCCCGGTCAGATATAGGAAGACTGGAAAATGTCAAACTGAAATTGAAACAGGCTGTGGAATGGCCCTTGAAACATCCGGATTCTTTCACCCGAATGGGTATTCAGCCACCTAAAGGAGTTCTTCTGTACGGGCCACCTGGTTGCTCTAAAACGATGATTGCAAAGGCTTTGGCCAATGAAAGTGGACTGAATTTTCTAGCAATAAAGGGGCCTGAATTAATGAATAAATATGTTGGTGAATCTGAAATTGCTGTTAGAGAGATCTTCCGCAAAGCGAGAGCGGTGGCTCCTTCCATTATTTTCTTTGATGAACTGGATGCCTTAGCAGTTGAAAGGGGCAGTTCTTCAGGTGCTGGGAATGTAGCTGACCGTGTTTTGGCTCAGCTCCTTACAGAAATGGATGGCATTGAACACTTAAAGGATGTGACTGTTTTGGCAGCTACTAACCACCCAGATAGGATAGACAAGGCTTTGATGTGTCCTGGAAGAATCGATAGAATCACCTATGTGCCTTTACCAGATGCAGCAACAAGGAAGGAAATATTTAACCTGCAGTTTCACTCGATGCCAATCAGTCAGGATGTTGATCTGAATGAACTCATCCTCCAAACGGACACATATTCTGGAGCGGAGGTCTTTGCCGTCTGTGAAGAGGCCGCCCTTCTGGCGCTAGGAGAAGACATTGAAGCCAAATGCATCAGGAAAAAACATTTCACTCAAGCCTTGAGCACTGTGACACCCAGAATTCCTGAGTCACTGAGACGTTTCTATGAAGATTATCAAGAGAGGAATGGGCCCTAACCGGTTTGGCTCAGTGGATAGAGTGTCGGCCTGCGGACTGAAGGGTCCCAGGTTCGATTCCAGTCAAGGGCATGTACCTTGGTTGAGGGCACATCCCCAGTAGGAGGTGTGCAGGAGGCAGCTGATCGATGTTTCCCTCCCATCAATGTTTCTAACTCTCTATCCCTCTCCCTTACTCTCTGTAAAAAAATCAATAAAATATGTTTTTTTAAAAAAGATATCACTTAAAAATTTTCCATTTCAGTGCACAAAACAAGAATCTAATAAATTGTTGTTGGTTATAGATAACCTAATAAGAGAAAGGGCTTCCTTATATGTCCAGGAAATAGAAAATTAAAACATCATCAACAATATTTCAAATAGCCACAATCATCTCATGAGTTCATTCAGTCCTATGTAATCAATTCTTGTTCTGCTGGACCTCGGATTAGCAGACTCATGAACATGAACTCATTGGTGTCTTGACTCAAAAGTGTTTTGGAAATACTGACTCTGCCCACTGAAGGTTGTTTAAGCGACATCAGAAACCTGTACCAAGATCTAGTCTTCAAAGTGTTAATAGTTGGAAGGACAAGGTACAGTCTTTTTCCATGGGCTCTGAGACTATGCTTCTTTGTGAAGATGTGAATTCTGGCTTGTAGCTGAATGCAGAGCCTTCAAGGGAGCATTGCGTAATACGAAAACTATCTGTAGGTGCTAAAGACTTAAAATGACTGGTAGTAACTGAAGAGGGTTCATAACAAGAATGATACAACTGACAAGAAAAGTTGGTGGTTTCTGTGTAATGTAAAGGAAAGCTAATACAAATCAGTCAGTCTTTAGACACAATGTCAGTATGGATAATGATTAAGGATATTTTCAAAGATGGTGAATATTACATCTGGTTTATAATAATAAATGAACATACTTTTTACAGAGAAAAATTAAGATATATAAAATTCCTGTCTATATATATATTCCTGTATATATATATATATATATATATATATATATATATATATCTCCTATATAATAAAGAGCTAATATGCAAATGGTCATCATGCCCTCATGCCATCACATCATAAAGGCTCAGACACACAACACTGGGGAGAGAGGAATGGGGAGCAGCCAGGCACAAATGAGCTTGCAAAAGAGGAATGGGGACCAGCCAGGCTCTGGCCCCAGGAGAGGAACAAGCTACCCGCCCTGCGGTCCTGGGCACCAGCGCCTGTGGGTATGGCCTGGGAGAGGGACAAGACACCCACCCCGTGGTCCTGGGCGTCTGCAGCTGGCCTGGGCAAAGCCGGCTCGGGTCCTGGGTGCCTGCGACCGGCTGGAGGAGGGAATCCTGGGTCCTGGGTGCCGGGCGAGGCAGAGGTGTTTAGGGGCGATCAGGCCAGCAGGGGAGCAGTTAGGGGCTATCAGGAAGGCAGGCAGAGGTGGTTAGGGGCGATCAGGCAGCCAGGCAGGTGAGCAGGTAGGAGCCAGTGGTTCCAGATTGCGAGAGGCAGTTGTATATCACCAAGGGGTCCCGGATTGGAGAGGGTGCAGGCAGGCTGAGGGACACCCCCTCCCACGCACGAATTTCATGCACCAGGCCTCTAGTCTACAATAATAAAAAGGTAATATGCTAATTAGACCAAACATCCTTCCGGGCATCATTCTGGACGTCCTTCCGGATAAAGCCGGGGCTGGAGCGAAGAAGCCCGGGTCCCGGATGCCTGCCAGTGGCGACCGGAGTGAAGCCTGGGTCCCAGGTGCTGGAGGGAAGCCAGTGCCGGCAGCCGGGGGAAGGAAGGCCTACTCTTGTACAAATTTTCATGCATCGGGCCTCTAATATATATATATACTCAGAATACACCAAGAATGCATCAAGAATATCAAGTCAGTAGATTCTGAGTATTTCTTAAACATCTCTGTTTTAATTAAACTGTACAGGTAAGTCTGATGTTTATTCTAAAATGAAAACCACTGGCCTAGAAGATGTAAAATTCAAGTTAAAAAGTAAGATTCTACCTAAGTAAACATTTTACATAATAACAAACATTATGACTGGTAACATCCTATTACCTAACATCAGGCAAAGCACCGTCAGGACACCGGTAAATAGAAACACTTGACAAATCTCCAGGGACTTCCCAGGAAACATTCACAACCTAGAATATTGACATCAGTAATATTTTACCTGTACAATTTTAACCTGGGAAAGTCTGAGCACCTTTTGTGATTTGATGACTCTTTCCATGAAACACATTAATAGTAACATAACAAGTGAAACGAAATTATTTTTAACACCTCTCTTTTATAAGGTAAAGGAACAAATGTTTGTATTTCAGGGAGGCAAAAATGAAAAGTTGTCAGGAGATTTGAACACTTAAGATAAGGTCATGGGTTCCTAAGACACAGTAGTTGGCTCCATTTGAAAGTGACAATAGGACATCTAAAAATAAGCATGAACTGTAACATGATTGTAAAGAACCTTAGCTCTTTCATAAGTGAGACTCTTTTGTTTGCTTTTTAAAAAATAATAAAGAACATAATAAAGCTAACATAAAACATAGAAAATTATTCTGGTAAGAAAATTTTTTGTAATCGAGAACAAACTTTTCATATTATAGGTGAAGGCAAATAAACAGTAAACCAAGGAAACTAGGCCATCAAAAATTGAGCAAACTTTGTTAAGATTTTAACACATTTCATAGTTTTCCCTCTGGTTTTTTAAACCACGGCAAATAAAAGTAGAATGGTGGCTTGTCAGGGTCTGGGGTGAGGGTAGGGGGATGGAGCTATGGTTTATAAAAGTCAGCTCCCCTGGCTCTGAGAGCACTCTTTCCCTTTCCAGAGAAGACTGCATTTCCTGGGCTGAGCTGAAACCCCAAAAATGCCTCCCCAGAGCAGAGTGGGACAGACCAGCACAGGGCAAAGCAGAGTGGGATGAAGCAGAGCAGAGCTGACCAGTGAGGAGCTGAGCAGAGCTGTCTAGCTAGAGAGGCCTGGCCCCAGGGCCGCCTCATAGCTGTGCTGTTTTCACACCAGTGCTGTATCACAACTGAGCTGTTTTGCACTGAATAAAGTTTTCTTCTTCACCACACCCCAAATTGGGGATTCTTGTTGGTGGTTTGAATTGGCACCAATGACCATGGTTCGCTGACAACATAAAACCCTGAGAACTGTTACTTTAGGAGAAAACATTTTTTTTTCTTCTTGAAAAACATAAGCATTTACACAATTGTATTTCTCTGTTGGTCCTTAATATAGCCCCAACCACTAATATAAATTATAACTTTTAACTAAAGCAACTTCTATTTCACAGAGAAAACTGGGGCATGGGAAAAGTAGAGGATAATTGTGAACTCTGCCATATACCAGCTTTTCAGTTTTTTAATAGATTAGCAGGGCTAATAAATACATATAACACCTTTTCATAGTCACACACACCTTCTAGCACAACTTATCAAAGTGGCAAAAGTGAACACTTTTTTTTAATTAACAGACTCAAAGAGTCTGCAGTGTATAAATATAAAATATATATTTTCTGCAGTGTATAAATATAAAAATCAAAAACATAAAAGTGTGCTTAGTAATTAATGCTTCAGTATTCTATTTACTTAGAAATAACTTTGCTTAACTCAATTTTGATATCAGCTTAAGGTTTTAACTTATCTAAACCTCTTAGAAATTATTTGTAAGCTGACATACTACAAAATTAAATTACTGTTGAAATAAAGTTTTCAGAATAATGATTCATTAGTTAAACACAAATTTCCATTTTTCATATTCTTAAGCAGTAGGAGTAATGTTAACTTATTTAATTAGTAAACCTATATACATTTAGAAAAAAACATATATACATAGAATATTGTTAAGAATTATACTTAACACAAATAAATCAGAGAAAATACAGCTGTTTTTATCAAACCCCAAATATTGAACTAGTCTCATTTTCCAGAGATATACTTAAATTTGTGAACCTGAATTCTAAAATGTTATTGGGTTTGTTTCTGTAAGAACATTTTATTAATGTAGCACATTTAAAGATGTAGAAGTTCAATTTTACTACTTCTTGGAATTTAGGAATAGTCACTTTATTTAAACACTTATTTATCTCTATCAGCCAATCAGAGAAGAACTCCTTTAGCATGAGACTTTATAATCAAATTAATTAATACCCTATGGAGGTAGGAGGATGTTACACATTCACACAATGAAAGAGAAAGGCCTTTCTAAACTATAGACACATGGACACACAGAGACAGAGTTTGTAGTTTCAGTCCTAAAATTTCATTTCAGTCATAGAATAAGAGTAAATACAGAAACATCAAATCTCCCCAGTCCTGGTATGAAAGACTTGTTTTCCTTTCCAATGGGCACAGGATTCCTAATTGATTTGGGCTCAAAATAGACAATAGGACTAACAATCCAGATTCTCCTCTAGCTCCCATCCAACAGAGACTAGATTTCTATAGCCCATTTACAGAAGTCACCAAATGGTCAGTCCATAAAACCAACTTCTCAGTCATGGCTGCCACTGATGAGTATTGGCTATAAATGAACCCAAATCCAAACCCAAACCCAAACCCAAAACAAGACATATTAGTAGAGAGGAAAAAAGACACTAAGGGTATAAATGTACAGAGAAAAACCTTGTGAGAACAGAACAAGAAGACAGCCATCTGCAAGCCAAGAAGAGAGGCCACAGAAGAAAACCATCTTGTCAACACCTTGATGTTAGACTTCTAGTCTCCAGAATTGTGAGAAAATAAAATTTTGTTGTTTAAGTCAAAGAAAAAAAAAAGGATGAGTAGAGAGGAAAATTAAAATTCAAAAAATAGCAAAGATGCTTTGTCACTTTGGATTCACCTCTGGGAGCCAAGAAGCAGTGAGCATCCAGACAGTGTGGCTCAGTGGTTGAGCACTGACCTATGAACCAGGAGGTCATGGTTTGATTCCTGGCCAGGGCACATGCTCAGGTTGTGGGCTTGATCCCCAGTGTGGGGTGTGCAGGAGGCAGCTGATCAATG